CATATACCAAGGGTGGTGGGTTCGAAGCAGGCCCCAGCCAAACTGCAAACTGCAAAAAATAGTCAGGTATTGTGGCAGGCACCTGTGGTCCCAGCTACTCGGGAGGCTGAGGCAAGAGAATTGCCTAAGCCCAGGAGTTGGAGGTTGCTGTGAGCTGTGACACCAAAGCACTCTACAGAGGGCCATAAAGTGAGACTCTGTCTCCAAAAAGAAGTCAACAGAAAAGCAAAGCAAACTGGAAACAAGTTTTTGTCAACTTAACAATAACTATTTGTTGTGTATAACCAAGAACTGAACTCTAAAGATGTGAGTTCCGATCCTGGTTCCATTTTTGACTTTATACAAATTGCTTAGTTTTCCAGAGTTTTTGTCTCTTCTCAAACAAGGCAGAAAGTTCCTAGTCAATGTTATAGGACTTACCACACAAATTTAAGATATTAATAGTAACACTTAACATTTTAACCTAATTCTTTGTACCCTCATTGAATTTCAAACAATAAAAAAAACCTAACGTTTACATATAAAAAAACTACTGTAAGTGCTTTCTGCATCATTAAGTATATTAATCTTCACAACCCCTCTATGAAGGAGGTACTATTATCTCCATTTTTGTAACTGACGAATGGGGCACAATTCTATGAAACAGAACCTGGATTCAAACGTGGGTAGTACAACTTGGGTCCATGCACCCACTTGACTATTGCTCTGTATTTCTGCTCCTGTATTATTACTACTATTGTACAAGACTGTTTAACACAAACATAGAAAACTACTTTGAAAATAAAAAATATGGCTCGGTGCCTGTGGCTCAAGTGGCTAAGGCACCAGCCATATACACCTAAGGTGGTGGGTTCAAATCCAGCTTGGGCCTACCAAATAACAATGACAGCTGCAACCCCAAAATAGCCGGGTGTTGTGGTGGGTGCCTGGGGTCCCAGCTACTTGGGAGGCTGAGGCAGGAGACTCGCTTGAGCCCAGGAGTTGGAGGTTGCCGTGAGCTGCAATGCCACAACACTCTACCCAGGAAGATAGCTTAAGGCTCTGTCTCAAAAAAAAATAAAAATAAAAAAAATACAAGGGCTGTAATTTAAATGACAACTCTGATCAGTATTTATACAAGTCCAAGTTTTGTGACTTAGAAGCCTAGATAGGTTTCTTTTATTAAACAGGAAAAACTATGAAAATGTAACTTAAAATCTGAAAACTATCTAAACATACTCACCCAAAGCAAAGCAAGCTGGATGTAGTCCTTATTTTAACACAAAAACTTTAGCAGAAATCTCCACAGGTAGGTAGATAAGAGTAAGATCTATTCTAAATATAAGATTCTGAAGTTTTGCTCATAGCTACAGCTCAAGACCGCACATCTTAGGACACCATAGGCTTCCAAATCACATTGGAGTGAATTAGTTTGACTATTCTGTAACTGCAGTAACCACGTGCGTGATGAGTTTAGAGATGTAGTCGAGTGACTCAACAGTGATTGGCATTTACCCGGAGAGTGGTCCCTAACACTGAAAAGCTTTCCCTCTCCGGGCAGTGTCCCACCTAGGGGAAACTTCACCTGGACACGCATATCACGGTAAGTTAAGGTACTTCTTCACTTTACCTCCATACCCTAATGCAGACTTCAAACTTGGAGGGTGGGGGATTGAAATGTGAGGGCCAAGCAAAAAGTTTAAAAAGTAAGGAGATTCAAAATGCTGAGAATGCAAAGGAACTTAGGAAAGTTTAAAGTCTCAACAGTGAAAGTTCCACGACGTGGACGTGAAAGAGAACACGTGGTGAACCGGCACCCAAGGCGGGGGTGGGGGGGTGAGGGGGGGCAGTGTCCGGAAGCAAGTACAGACTTGTTCTGTCCAACTGCCCACGACGAGGCCCATGCGCTGGTTCAGAGACCGAGAACAGTAGTGACCCAAGATGGGGCTCTGTCAAAACCCAAGGCACAAATAAACGCATAACGTGGCCCGGCAGAAGGAATCCGCCCCTCGGGGCCCCGGAGGCTCGGCGAACATGGCGGCCTGGAGACAACCGGGCGCACACCACATGGAGCCCGCCAGTAGAGGCTCAGGTCCACGGTCGGCCAGCTAGAGCTGCGGCCTCTCTCACTGTCCTCAAGAGAGGCCGCACCTGGGGCTGGCAGCATGGGCCCACTTAACACCAACGCCGCGCTCCGTGCCTCCTCGCCCCGTGCCGCCGCAGGCCACGCGCGTGCCGGACCACACGCCACGCAGCCGGGGGGCCCCCAAGGCCAAGCCCAGGCAGGCGTCCACCCCGCGCCGTCCCGCTCGCTTTACCTTGGCCTGCAGCCGCGCTGGCGCCCAGGCCAGACAGGTGCAGGTACCGCTGAGGTGCGCGGAAGGCACGTATTCCTGGTGCAGCCGGTTGTTAGCTGTCTCCCAGACTCGCAGATGACCGTCGGTAGACGCCAGAGCGAAGTAGGCCTGGCTGTGCGGGGAAAAGGCGCAGGGAACCCCCGCCGGGGCCAGGGGGTCGCAGCTACCGCCGCCACCCGCCGCCATTGCTGCTCCGGCTCCGCGGCAGCCACGTGTTCCCCCGCGCGCAGGCGCCCCGGAGCGGGGCGGAGCCTGGAGGAAGGAAGCGGGGTGGAGAGAGCGCCGAGAGCAGAAGGAGGGGCTCTCCCTGACGCAAGCGAGCTGGGCGGGCTCAGCATCTGGACGGTGGCCGGGT